GTGTCATATATAGTATTATACAAATTAAATCTTAGGTTAACATATTTTAATTCTATTTTTCAATAAAAAAACTGATTAATTACAGATATGTAGATATATAATAAAATTAAAAATTAAAAATTATTTTTTAATTTGTATTTTAATATTAAAAACATAGCAACTAATGAATATTATACTTAGTATATTAATATATAAAACATTTCTCTTTAATCATTATAATCGAATGTTGTTCGAATTCTAACTCCTCTATAACTAGTCGTAATTGATAGAATTATACCTTGGGTCGACGTCTCTTTAGCATCGATTCATCATCTCCATCGAAGTCTCTTCAACTACTATTCATCATCAATATTACCCATGTCCTTATCTGAAAATTTTCATTGTTACAATTTCTATATATATATATATATATATATATATATATATATATATATATATATATATATATATAATTACGTCACCAACCGACGATCAGTTTAAGGAAAAAACTTTCTTCGATCAATGGCAAGACAGGCGAGCACTGACCCATGGGCTAAGCTAAGTGTAACACCCCGACTCTCATGTATAAACTTTTCATCCTTATATTCATTTTGAAAGGTCTACTCGACGAGTTGGATGCGTTGACTCATCGAGTAGGAATGAACTTGGCCACGTGTATTAAGTGATAAACTCGACGAGTTGGAGGACACAACTCGACGAGTTGGAGCTCGAGGATGAAAACCTAATTTCCATGGTTTTACACACTATTTAAAAGGTTATTAGCCTCCCTTATCCTCCCTTACAGACCCCCTTGTGCTTAGAAACCCTAAATAGTACTTACCCTCCATATTTGTGTGTTATTAAGCTTGGAAGGTGGATTTTGGTGAGAAGAGCTTGAAGTCCAAGGAGCTTGGATCAAGGAGAAGTTGTGGATCCGAATTCTACTCCATCTTAGCATCACTTTGAAGGTAACAAGTCATTACCTTGGCTCTCCCTTAGCTAGATCTCTTCGTGCATGGGTTTAGAACCCTTTCTAGTGTATTGCTATAGTATTTCCAAATTTGGGGAAATATCTGAGGTCACAACTTTAGATATGGACTCCTTTAGCCCCTTGTTGTCACAAAGTTCCAGTCTTTGTAAATCTATGGCCTTCTCCTTTCCTTAAACTACTTCTTTAGACTAGTTTGGCTCTTAAGACCTTGCATGCACGTAAATTTTGCAAGTTTACGTGATAACTAGGCCTTAGGAGGCTTGATCTACCAATTGGAGCTTTGGAGTAGCTTAAAATCATATAGAAAAAAAATGGACTGCATGAATTCGACGAGTTGGGAAAGGTTTTCTCGTTGCTTAGTTTCTGCATGGACTTGGCGAGCCAGTAAGAGGACTCAACGATTCAGTTAGGGTTTTCTTGACTATTTGGACACGCATGGACTCGACGAGCTGTTTGGAAACTCGATGAGTCAACTGGGGTTTCAAGACTTCCCGTAACCGTAGACCTAGTAGTATCCTTCAGCCTCCAACCTTAAATCCCCCACTATCGGCTGCCACCACCTGACTCCCTCTCGTTATTCCGGTCAGTCAAAGCTCCAAGTGACCGTCGTCCTCAGCCGATGCCCTTGTCGTCATGGTGATTCGTCATCCAGCCATCATTGCCCCGTCGCAGATGGTAGAGAGAACCATGAGCAGATGTCCTTTTCGTCGTTGCTGTCGTTCACAATCACAACATCGTCTCCGTTCCTCGGTTGCTACGCCCATGCCCATGTTCTGTTGTCCTCCAGTTGCGTCTGTTACCCCGAAGTGGAGGAGATGGGTGCGTGTTTTCTATTACATCTCTTGTTCATTATGGTGTTGATAATTGCAAGTTGTATGTGCATGTGTTTGTTGGCCTGTAACTGACAAGAACCACCATGGCTGCTAGCTATGGTGCCTGTCATTTCAGTCACTTCGTTTGTCGCCACCCGTCACCGTGGAGGGGGTGGCTGTTTGTGTGTTTTGGTGAGTGTGTTGGAGTGTGTGTTGCATGATCGAGAATTAATAGAGAACCACCACCACTATCGTAAGGTGGTGGCTATCACCTCCGACCATCGCCTTCTGCCACAAGGGTGGCTGAGCGTATGTGTATATGTGTTATATTGTGTGTGTGTGTGTGTTTATTTTGGATATTATGTTGTATAATTGTATTTTTGGTCGGAATAATCAAGGAAATCGCCACCACTACCGCCATGAGCTGGTGGCTACCGCCACCTGCCGCCATGTTGGGTGGTTGTGTGCATTTATGTGTGATTGGATTGTTAATTGATTTGTTTGGACATGTTTTGGACTACAATTATCACCACCATCATCACGAGCTGGTGGTTGTCGCCGTTAACCACCACTACCCGATGTGTTAGTGGGTGGTGCCCGAATTATTTAACCCTAATCAGCCTAAATATTAATCTTTGGATCTACTTGGCTAGTATTTGGGTTGGAAACCATACTTAGGGCTTAAAAAACCCTATTGTGATGAAAGCCTAGTTAGGTTTGGGTTCTTGTTGGGTCATTTCTTGGACTAAGTTGTTGTGGGCCTTTGTAGGCCAATTGGGAACAGGCTTATGGATTAATGAAATTTTTAGGCTTTAGGGTAAGGCCCATTGGAAAGGCTTGGGACCTATTTGGAAAATTAGGCCATAGGTGGGCCATAATTGGGCCTTGATGATTATGAGATGTTGGACCATCGGAATGCCAAGTGTTTGGACTAGAGTAAATGGTTGGGCCTTAAGGTAAGACCACGTAGATTTTTGGGCCCACTTTGGATAATTCGGCCATATGTTGGGCCTTTGTTGATTATTTGGCTTCAGGGCCTTCAGAGTGTGAGTTTGGGCATTGGTTTTGAATCAAGCTAGGTTGAGGGTAAAGTAGTCTTTTTACCCCAAGCATGGACTTATTGTTATGTATTGGAACCGAATTATTAATTGGGTGTTGTTTTGATGTTGACAGTTCGGGAATCTGTCAACTAGCAGCTGGAGTTTATCTGTGGGACTTCACCAGTGCGAGGTGAGTCTCCACACCATACCAATGGGCCGAAGGCACCAAGGCCTACCCATTTATCTAGTTATAATGATTATTGCGGATATGCAATCGATACACTATGTATTTATGTGAAGACCATGTGGGGGTTCCCATGGCAATTAGTTTTATGTGGTATGCTAGTTGATTACGTGGTATTTGGTATGCTAGATGTCTTTGTGATACTTACATTGAAGACCCTAGGGTTCCCGAGGCACTTGGACGTATAACCATGTGGGGTTCTTATGACACCTAGTGTAAGACCATGGAGGGTTTTCATGGCACCTTATACGTTTGTATGTATGACTTATATGGGTTGTATGCCATTTCTGTTGATTAGTTAAGACCATGTGGGGGTTCCCACGGCAGTGCGTCTATATGTCAGCGGCGACGACTATTAGCGGCGACGTCTATTAGCGGCGACAATGAGGCAATAGCGGCGACACCCCTGGAGGGAAAAGTAAGAGCGTTTTTTAGGCCTACAGGACCGTAGGATGGAATACAGATCGGACGACTAGGGTTAATTTGACGCGGAACGCCACTATGTAGGCAATAGCGGCGACCCTTTTAGCGGCGACGCGAGGCAATAGCGGTGACATGTAACGTGTCAATTACATGTCGCTGCTAATGGCTAGCGTCGCCGATATTGCCAACATTTCTTGTAGTGTCAGATTAGATAGAAAACTGTAAGTCATAAAAACTATGTTATGGATTACGAATGATGACAATGCTCTTAATTGATTTCTCTCTTCCAGAGATGTATATAGGTTTCTTTTGTCTCATTTCTATTTCTCAAAGATTTTTCTCACCTAAAAAGTGAATGTATATTCGTATTTATAAGTTTATGTTCTTTTAAAAGTTCGTGCCGCTTAGGCTTGGTTATCGCATTGCTAACCGTTATCTAATCACGTGTTCTCCATGCTTCAAACAGATAATTGTTATCACTCCATTACCCGACGTGAAGATCCTATGATAATGATGCTAAACATCTTAACTTCCAATCTTTTGCATCGTCAATATTTTTAATCTTTTCCCTTCTAAAATGTAGTAATTTGTCTCATTTTTATTCAAAGGCATTTTGAATGCTACAAAACAAAATATAAGCTATTTAAATATAATTTTCTTATTTTTAATATTAAATTTAAAAAATACTATGATAAAGCATAAAATATATAATTAAATACGGAAATATCATGCACCATTCAAGGAGATTTATAATCTATGAGATCCAAAAATAATTAGCAACACTACACATGAAATCAATTGGTTACAAAATAGAAATAGTTCAGAGCATAACAAAGTTGCTCCAATCTAGGTAATATGGATATGGTAGGGAGAATGGGTTGGCTCGATGATGATCGTCACAGTGTGGAATAGTGTAAAAATGAATGAGGTAGTCGTTCCATTTATTCATCTCCTTGCAATTGTTCGGGTAGCCTACGCTGTCCTCTTTCCATTATAATCTGCAAACATCCAAAAACAAATACAACCGATTGGTGATCAGTTTAGATCGAACTTCAAACCAAAAATTGATACTCATTTGACCCTATTAAGCACCTTAATTCTTGCAATTTCATGTGAATTTGTTTATCATTGCGCAATAACAATGTACCGATTTCAACAACTCTCGGGTTTGGCTATATACCGATGTTTTAACTGGTTATTCTTCAACCTCAAACAATTCGAAGTTTAGGGTTTAGAAACATACCTTTATAGTGGATTATTACATGTAAACATAAAGAGAATCGAGGCTAGGAGATGGTAATCATCAGACAAAAGGTGGCGTTGCAAAGTGGAATGATTGTAGTAATAAAGTTATTCATTTATTGGTTTCCTGACATATATTTTAGTAAATGAGATATAAAACATACATCTTCGATATACAGGGTCAAACCTTACATATTTAGGGAAGGGTATGTACGGCTGACAACACGTTTGCGCCATATTATTCTAAAAATTACATTTTCTATTGAAGATCATAAGTTGTGACCAGTATGTCCTCCTGATCCTGGGTTAACATTGTCGTTATTATTTCCATTATAATCTCCGATCGAAACAATGATGGGATTGTTGTTTCCGCTACCAGGAATGTTATCAGTTCCATTTATGTCGCTGCTTCCATTAATGTCACCGTTGTTGCTTCCACTTCCGATGGTGTTGTTGCTGCCGTTATTGCTGTCAATGTTGGTTATATTGTTAGTGATCATATTATTTTTTATGTTGTGATATCCATTTTCATTAGCGTATATTTTCACATTTTTGCTGCCATTGTTGCTTCTAACATCATCATTACAAGCACCATTCCCTTTCACACATCGTACTCCATGCAAAATGTAATTTGAACCAGCGATACTTTCTCTGGTATCACCAGTGTAGCTTTGTCTGATACCTCGCCCATACATTACTCCGTGTTTTTCCTCGAGAAGCTTTTGTATATTATACTCATGCTCTCCTCCACATTCCTTGTCTCTTGTAGAACAACCAATCCTACTAGTACTGTCAACATGTTCAAGGGATGTCTTTTGCTCCCCGATAATATTTCTAGCATAAATAATGTCAATTGTGCAAATCAAAACCCCAAAAAATATAACTTCAAAAGGATTAAGTACCATCATATATCCTGTCATTAGTTTTATATTGATGGCTTATAATAAGTTATACCACAATAAGTAGTTTATATATAGGGATTTAAGTGTGCACTAATTTAATATTGCAGTTCATATACTAATGAATAAATAGTTTTGCGTGTCAAATTACATATAAATAATTGTATTTCATTTACTAACCTGTATGATTTGACATAACCTTCAACAACTTTTCTCCTTGTTTTTACTTTACTAACCACCTTAATTATCATTGTTTTATGACTAAACTGCACAAATGTTCATGTGGTTTGATCAAAAGTACCATTTTGGTTTATAAAAATTTAGACTATCATTGTAGGTCTAAAGTTTTATTTTGTTACCGGTTTAGTTCAATTTTCTTTAAATTTTTTCATAGTAATGATTTTGTCCTTACTTTTATTTATTTTAGTTTTTTATTTGTTTAAATATTTTTCTGTTTAAAAGAAAAATAAAAAAATAAAAAATTGTCTTTTTTATTGTACTCTCTCTCTCTCTCTCTCTCTCTCTCTCTCTCTCTCTCTCTCTCTCTCTCTCTCTCTCTCTCTCTCTCTCTCTCTCTCTCTCTCTCTCTCTCTCTCTCTCTCTCTCTCTCTCTCTCTCTCTCTCTCTCTCTCTCTCTCTCTCTCTCCAGCTAACAAGAACACCAGACACTACCGCCGGAAAAGTTAAACGCCACCACCGGAAACGATGAACGTCACCACCACCACAACAGGTCAACACATGTAGCCTAAACGACCACTGCAAGTCAACACCACCACCATCTCCTAGAAAACCTCATATCTGAAAAGTATAATCGGAAACCACCGCCACCATTACCATTTCTGTTGGAAACCAACAAAACTGTCGTCGATACAGATCTATGTTGTCCTTCATCTTCAACGTTGCTCGCCATATCAGAGCTGGAAAGACAAAGATGCATAAACGGCGGTCATTTGTTAGGGAGTCATAACCCTCATTCTCAAGTCGTTTAAGATCACTGCCACCTTCGTCAGAGCCGTCAGAGCCTTCGAGCGTCTTCATCATTAACTACCGATGAGAAAGATTTCCAGATCTGCACCGGTCAACATCAACACTGCTTTTGAACCTCTATGAAAATCCGTTGATCTTGAAAACCCATCTGAAAACCCTCCGATTTGAAAGCCTTCGTCACCTTGAGCTCTTCACTACTACCGCCAAAGAACTAGCGGAGAAAGAACTAAGATCGAAAGGTCTAGCATTTTTGGCCAAGGACATACAACTAAGTTTTGTGGTCGTCAGCTTGATCCTATCACAGTGATCGGAGAAGACAAACCAGGTTCTAACAACTAGTGGATGACGATATGGTGGGTCAAATGAACCATGGACCACAAATATGTAAACAAAAAATCATAGATAGGGTTTCTACTGATGAAAACAAAACAGAAGTAGGGGGACATAGACGAGAGGGTGGCGACTCCGACAAAAGAGTTTTAACTGATCTGATGTTCTTTTTAATCAGAAAAATATTTAAATAAAAAAAACTGAAAAAGCAAAAACCAAGGGTAAAATCATCATTATAAAAAAGTTTAAAGTAAAATTGACCAAACTCGCAACAAAATGATTACTTTGGACCTGTGGTGCTAATCGAAAACTTTTTGTACCAAATTGACAATTTTCAGCAAACCATAAGGACCATTTGTGCAGTTTAGTTTTGTTTTATTATGGGCTAATATCATAAAAACCTTTAAGTTTTCAAGATATATTTGATTTTACCATTTGAGGTCTTTTAGATTCATTAAAGCCACACATTTAGTTTAATTTCTACACTTATACCTTTTTAGGAGGCTTCCCAATTATCATCCGGTTACATGAATGGGCTGTGTGCCATTTGGCGCTGATTCAACCTTCCTTCACTGACATGGCACTGTATCGTCCTTTACTTAAAAAAAATTAGTGGTTAATGAAGAAACGGAGCAAGGGAGGTTCGAATACGCGTGGTCCAACGACAAGCCGAAGTAGTTTACCACTAGGCATTACTCAATAATTTTTTATGTCTAACTTTTAGCATATAATGGTTAACACAAATAATTAATAATATTATTTCTTGATTCTTTTGATTATTATTATTATTATTATTATTATTATTATTATGAATGTATATATTTTAAATACATGAATATAAATTTATCATATATAAATATATATTTATTTTGTATAAAAACATATTATATGAAAATACCAACTAATATGGTTTATACTGTATATACATACATTATTATTATTATTATTATTGTTATTATTATTATTATTATTATACATTTTTAAAATGTATAAATATATTTTTAAGGCTAAAAAGATATGTTATTAAAGACGTAAATATATTTTAAAGGTGTTTAAACATTTTTAAAATGCATGAATACCTACTTAAATATATATATATATATATATATATATATATATATATATATATATATATATATATATATATATATATATATATATATATAAAAGTACTTTCAAATTTTCAAAATCATATGTATATTATATTTTTTATACTAAATAAATATAAGTTTATCCATGATAAATACAACTAAGTACAACTGAATTCATATTAAATACAAATAAGTACAATTTTCAATGTATTAATAAGTTTTTAAATGTATAAATACGTTTAAAATTCTATAATATACATAGAAACAAATTTTTTAGGCTGAAAAATATATTTTGATATTTAAAAGCATATTTAAAAAGACATTTAGACATTCATAAAATTATATAATAATAATAATAATAATAATAATAATAACTAGATGTGTTCCCCTCGTGTTGCGGGGGTTGGAAGTTGTTGCTGTTGTGTGTAACTATATTCATTTCCTGATGATGTTTGTGGATGAATATGACTTCCAAAGGTTGGATTAACTTTATTTCTGAATCTTTCTTCTTAAATTGCTTGTGTGGTTTTCACAAAGTGTTCTTCAAAGCTTTAATCAGAACACAGTGTTTATCAGAAGAACAAAATTGGTGGTCTCCAATGATCCTGAAAATCAAAACAAAAAAAGCCTATTTCAGAAATTCAGTTACAGAATATGGATCTTAAATAACTTAATATGACTAATAGAATATCAAGATTTACCTGAGATATCCTAAAAGTGCAGAACTAGAATAAATAACATCAGGTGTAGTACCCAAGTAGGAGAGCTACCCTTAAAACTCACATCCACCTTCTGCAATCACTTTCGTTCCTTGTGCAATTCTTCGACCTGCTGGTCCACTTTTCGCTGCATCTCCTCTCATATAAAATCACAAATGTCATGCCACAAAAAATGGCGTGATGGTTTGTAGTTTTGAGTATATACCCGTATACAGCACTCTACTTTTATTTTTCTATATTTGCCAAAATAGAAAATGAAAGTATGACGTTATATTTGACAAAAAATTGAAAGTACATTGGTATTGTTAAAATAGGAAATAAAAGTAGGTTGCTATTTTTATCTAAATTATCGACATGTTATGAAGAAAAAACGTCAATGTACTAGCTATACGCATCGATCTCATCAGTTGATAGCTAAATATGACATTCCTTATAGCTTAGAAATGAAAATTGAGAAATAAAAAAAAGGGAAATATGATATTTCATACTATAATAATAAAGCATCTAATAGGGAATCATATATTCCATTCCATCAAAGCAAAACAAACAGACAAATACGACACTCTTTATGGCTTAGAAATGAAAATTAGTAAATGAAACAGGGAAATATGAAATTTTGTAATGAAATAATAAACGCACCCTATAGCACTGCATATTATAAATTAAAAAGAAAGGATCTCATTTGTAGTTTACCTGCAACTACGCATGCTTCTCTACTTCTTGTCCCCTGTTTGGTAGTAAAATTATCAATGTAAATAAGAAAAATATAAAATACAAATAAAATGAAGGAAAACATGGACATATTTACTGGTATGATAACCAAATAAAATCCCTCCAATTCCAACAGAATGCAATCAACGTTATAATACATTACCCGTATTATGATCGTCCACTTAAACATACATCTTAAAAAGACATGTAAATTTGGAGAAATTACTCATAAAAACCATATTACATCATTCTACATTTTCATTACAGCTAAGTACTTTTAATTTTCTCATATTAGGACCATGTACTTTTAGGAATCAACCCAGATACCAATTTTGTCATACATTCCTCCAGTAAATATGTCAGCAATAATTTTACATATTAGAACCCAAATTACCTAATCGTAGGTCCAAAAAACTATCATTTTCGAAAAAGAGAGGACAATGATGAGTACATGCTACATTTTTCAAGTAAAAAAAGCAAAAATTCACTATTTCAAAAAGAAGAAATCTTTTTTTTTCTGCATTTTCTAGGAAAAGATTACATATGAACACACAATAATAATTATGTAGAGAGAGAGCAAACAATGATTGTTTAAAAACCTGAATGAACTCATTGTACAAAAGAAGTATGGATGTGACTAACTATTCAAATGCTCATGTTTGCATATTTACAAATTGTATGCGTCGATATTGGTACCGAAAGTTACACCAGCAAGTTGGGTCTTCCCTAAATTTGTAGCCGGTTACCAACCAAAATCTAAATCCATTGATAGCACACCTACCAAGTCTTTGGACCTGCAATTTAAAAAAAAAAAAGAAAAAAAAAACTCTAGTTTTTGTGAGTTATGTTTTCAAGAATTTATAAATATTTCTTTATGTTGTTTGGTGAATGGTGATAGCTATATTCCATATCTAACTCAGTACGTGTTGGTTGATCGGTTAACATACCTTACACTGCTTTCCATTGTGATGGCACCTGATCGCCACCTTCTGCTCAGTTTTTCTTTGGGGCACATTCTGACTTGAAATTTCACCATATTTTATTTCAGAATCCAACAAATCTTTATAAATAAATATTTAAAAAAAAAAGATTCACCTATTGAAAGTTTTGGGTTGGGGGTAATTCGAGAGGCTTGCAAAGAAATTGCAAGAACAGAACTTGAATAAAAATGGCAATTGACCATTTTTTATAAATATTTGTTTTTAATATGGATGGGTACCTTTATTACTTTTGTTTTTCAATTTCGAGATCTTATTAAAATATAAATTGTACAAAGTGCAAATCGTTACATTAGTACATTTCTTGAAATCCAACCAACCACTTGTTCTATCTTTCCAATCTCATTTCTTATTTTCCAGTAGACAAATAAATCAAAAGTCAATTTGGTAGACCTGTTGTCTTTTTTATATTTAGAAACTGAAATTAAAAAAAAAAAAAAAAAAAAAAGTAAGAATTAATTAGTTTTTATTCTTTTTATTTTTTTTAAAAAACGCCAAAGGAATTGCACTTTGGAAGATACTCAAAAAGGATTAAATTACCTTTTTCGGTTCCTTTTATTGTTTTATCGCAGCAGATTACCCGCCACTTCGCTGCTTTTCATACCACAAATATTGAAATCCGTTGTTTTATAATCAACGTTAAAAAAATTCCATTATTGATTTTAAATAGAAAATGTCCAAAACACCCTTTTTATGTCCCAATCATTAATTTTATCTTTAAGTGTTGTTTTATTATTCCTTTGATATTTCTTTTATTCATTTAAGGCGTCGAACACAAATTTACATAGACCTTATCAATGTAATCATCATTACAAATTGCTAAGGTTTTCCATTTTCGTGGGAGGATATTGGATGCGTTTCATTCTTAGGGGAACATGTTCACATACATGTAGTTTCAAAACCAAAAAGCTGAATGTACTTAAGGGGAAAACTTCATTTCACAGCCTGAAAATCTAAAAATACGATAATTTAATAGGTTTAGGTCATTTTTGGTCACTTAACTTTTGGTTTTGTACTCATTTGGTCACTTAACCCTTTTTAAGTTTTAAAAGGTCATCAAAATTTTGACTTTGTGCTCATTTAGTCACTTAACTTTTTGTTTGGTCACATTTAGTCACTTAACTTTTAGATTTTTGCTCATTTAGTCACCTAACTTTTAAAATTGTGCTCATTTAGTCACTAAACTTTTGAAAAATTTAAAAGTT